TAATAATAATAATAATAATAATAATAATAATAATAATAATAATAATAATAATAATAATAATAATAATAATAATAATAATAATAATAATAATAATAATAATAATAATAATAATAATAATAATAATAATAATAATAATAATAATAATAATAATAATAATAATAATAATAATAATAATAATAATAATAATAATAATAATAATAATAATAATAATAATAATAATAATAATAATAATAATAATAATAATAATAATAATAATAATAATAATAATAATAATAATAATAATAATAATAATAATAATAATAATAATAATAATAATAATAATAATAATAATAATAATAATAATAATAATAATAATAATAATAATAATAATAATAATAATAATAATAATAATAATAATAATAATAATAATAATAATAATAATAATAATAATAATAATAATAATAATAATAATAATAATAATAATAATAATAATAATAATAATAATAATAATAATAATAATAATAATAATAATAATAATAATAATAATAATAATAATAATAATAATAATAATAATAATACTCTCCCTAATTAACCCCCTAACGAGTGAATTTCAACCCCTGAAGTCGACTGAACGACTTGTGTAGGGGAAGGGACGGCTATTATTATTATTATTTTCCGTGGCGCTCCGGGGCGACTTAAAGATGATTGATGGTGCCATTTGACTTACAGGTGAGGAAAACCCGGAAAACCTCACCCACCATCATCGAGACGTTTGTTTTGTTTAGTTATTATTTTTATTGTTGAATTTAACAATATTAGTTGTTGATGTGGTAAAATTCACAAAAACATAAACACTTCATCTGACATGATCGGTAAGATTGAAAAACTTTGTTTAGAGGAACATGGTACCTTATTCCCGAAAATAACAGAAAAACTTAAAATAGGATAAATTGAACATTTTAATATAATTTAATTGGTGTGTACATTCTGGTGAAAATAGTCTGACCAAATTTAAATATTGGCCGAAAATTTATACTCAGAAAAAAGCAAAACTTTCTGAATATATCCCTCTTCTGTATCACGATTTTTACGAGAACTTGAAGACAGCAGAAGATCAGTCTGAGGATTTTATCGTTATGGACGAAGACGAATTTGATGTTAATTAAATACGTGTGAATTATTTTTCATGTTTACTGTCTTATATTTTATGTGAAAAAAAAAACAGTAACTCTTAAAAATTTATTTTTTTCGTACCATGACCTAACAAATTTTAAAATATTTTATGAAAAGCAAAACGGCCTAACCCACTTTTCTTTCCAAAATATAAGAAGCATTGCACTTTTTCATTTTCTAATTTGTTGTTACAACCAAAATAAGCAATTTACCATAAAACATATTTTTCTAAATTTCATAAATTGGGATTAGTAGGACGCTTTATTTTTCAAAAATATTATTTTAAATATGTCTTAAATTTAGCTTTTGGGGGTCAGGCCGCTTTCACGCTGATAGCCTCAATTGTCAAGACAAGAGCTCTATACATATGCTATGGAGCAAATTGTATCGGGGGTGAGACTCACCAGTAAAATCTTAAATGAAAAAATGGTTCGAATGATAAAATATCTTATTTTTAAGGTATTTTTACCTAGATAATAATCCACAAGTTTAACATAGCTACTATCTATATAGCCCATATAATGGTTCACCAAAAGTACAAAACCGTTTTAACATAATTTTTACATTGTTATTAAAAAAAAACGAATTTTTTGTAACAATTCTAGTTTTGTTCCTGTGGATTTCAATTATTGTTATCAGATGACATTCTTTGGTCACCGTAAAGTAGTAAGGTTTAGTTTATTTCTTGTTAGAGTCGGCATAAAAGTGACATATCAGTGATAATGGTTTACTCAATTGCTGAGAGGGTGCAAAAATGTTTTTGCTAACAATGAATGTGTTAATAAACTGCCCAACTGCTTAACAATCAACATCAAAATCGATAAGACCATCGTAAGTATATTTTGGACTTAGCCCAAAATTTTAGGAAACGGAATTAGAGGCTAACAAAAAACGTTAAATGGAAAATGCTGTAGTAAATAAAGCTACAGAGGTCGCGATTTAAGGGCATGTTGTTCAAGAACCCACATTGAGTACAAGACAGTTGACAATAACATCTGGTATTAAGAGAAGTAGCATTCAGAAGAAAAAACACAAGTTTCATTCCTACAAAACACATCTGGTAAAAGAACTTAACGAAGACGATTTTGATAGGCGATTACAATTTTATAAAATTATAACTGAACGGAATAAATAATCAGCAATTTCTTTTCAACGTGTGTTTTTCAAACGAATGCACTTTTTTTCTAAATGGTACGGTAAATCGTCAAAACTGTCGTTATTGGTCCGATTTAAATCCCAGAATATTTCATGAAGTGCAATCGCAACTTTCGGAAAAACTGAATGTTTGGGCTGGTATTTTTGGTAACGGTATAATTGGCTCTTTTTTTTACCTGGAACCTAAACCGCAGAAATGTATCTGGAATTATTAGAAAACGCCATTTATCCAGTATTACTAGAGTTGATTGAGAATGACGATCAGTACATAGCAAGCAACTTAATATTCTAGCAAGAGGGTGTGCCACTGTTCGTCTGTATTTGAATAAAACGTTTCCAGGTCAATGGATCGGAAGAAGAAGAAGAAGTATTGAGTGGCCCCCACGGTCTCCGGATCTAAGTCTGTTAGATTTTTATGGGACCACTTAAAAAACTAAAATGTATGCCATCCAGCCAACATCACTGTAAAATCTGCGACAACGGATAATTGATAAATGTCATCAAAGCACCCCACAGATGCTTCAAAATGTCCCAGATCGTTTTAAACAAAACCTCTATTATTGCATGAAGGGCCAGAGTCAGCATTTACAGCATTTACTCGAGTAATTTGTAAGCTTTTACAGAAAATAAAAATCGTTAAAATATCATAGCTAGGAAGACAGTAGCGTTTTAAAACTATGGGATTATAATCTATGTAAAAATACCCTTAAAATAAGCTTGACTCCTCTTTACATTTAAAATTTTAGAGGTAAGTTTCACCCCCGCTAGAGGGTTTCCGTTCAGGGGGTGAAACTAGCAAAAAAATGTTTCCCTCTAAAATCAAAAATTGATGGGTCCAAGCGTTTTTCCATAAATTACTCGAGGTGCACAAAATTGGTTTTGTTTTCAAATGGCCGCCCTGTGTATATACAATCAAAAATCTCCTTTTAAATTCATAATGGTTAATAAATGTTTTATATTGTGTTTCTACTTATTTCATTGGTACTCTAGCACCGCAGCACCACTGAACACCAGTGGTGGGTGGCTGCACCGAGCATATAGCGTTGCCAGATGCTAGATATCCCGATTTAGATGGGAGCCTCCAACCTATAAGTAGTTCTTTATACAATGCTATAAGCCTATAAGCAATTGGAAATTTGACAATCCTTTTTTTAAAGAAAACTTTCATAAAATCAATGCTTTAAATAGCCCCCACATCTCGCATTGAGGCCGGGCACCCAAAGCAATTTTTTGAGTTCCAGCGCCTATGGTTTTAGCATTGATTATATTATTATTCTACTCTTCACACAGTAGTCTGTGAAGAGTATTATAGGTTTACTTTGTCCGATGTCAGGGTTTTTGTCTGCACGATAAGTCAAAAACGAAAAATGATAACAAATTGAAAATTTTAAGCATAAAACAAGCTCTATAATGGGATAAAGCCTATTTTTTTTACAGAAATCTGATTTAAAATAGGGTGTTAAGATAAGTTAAAATTAAAAAAAATCCTAAATTAAAAACGAAAAGCGATATCAACATGATATTGATTCTAAAAAAATCTGAATAAATTGAGGAGGGTTAAAATATAAAAGAAAAACTTAACTGAAAAACGAAAAATGATATTTACTTGAAATTTTTAGCAAACATCAAGGTCTATAAAGAAAATAAGCTCTTTTATTTTAAAAAGAAAAATTTGATTAAAAATGGAGGTGTACGTGGGGTTGAAATTAAAAAAAAATCATAAATCAAAAATGAAAAGCCATGTCAACATGAAATTTATAGTAGAGATCAAGCTCTATAAAGAGATGAGGCCTATTGATCTTGAAAAAAAAAATTTAAAAAAAGTGGGGGGTAAAGGGGGGTTGACATATTTAAAATAAATCTAACTTAAAAACAAATAATAATATCGACTTGAAACTTTTGGAAAAATCAAGCTCTACAAGGGGAAGAAGCCTATTGATTCTGAAAAAAATGTGATTGAAAATCAGGGTTAAGGGGGTCTGTTAAACTGTGAAAATTATAATTTTAGAATGCCACACATAATATATCTTCATTCTAGTTTGTATCTATGTAATAATATGTATTGTGATGGGACTGATCTTATAAAATACACACTTTAGTTCATTTGTTTTTTTGTCAATAAAATGTATTTAAAAATATATTATTTTATTTAACATGTGTGACAAATTGTGAAAATGATTAAATTCACAATAAAAACTGAAAAATGGTAGGTAAAGTTTCATATAATAATATTTTCTACATAACCTGATATATATTTAAAAATATTCTCAAAATATGAAGAAGTCAGTTGATTAACTAATAATGTTTATAGATGGTATTTATCGTATTAAAAACAAAATAAATATTAAAATACCTAAAATATTTATTTATTCATTTTGTGCCTTTTTAATTCACGTCAAAAATAATATTAAGCTTTGAGAGATTTTTAAATTTGTATATTTTTTTTAAAGTAATATTTAGGACAATTTTAAGAACAAGAGTATAGGCACTTTCAAAATCATTAAAAAATATGTTATTTATTTTGATACAATTTTTAGCATTCATACCCCTAGTACTAAAACGTTTTTTTTTTTTTATAGGTACTTCTCATTTTTTTGTAAACTTCAGATATGTTTCTTCTTTTTGTACCTCCACATTTAAAAAAAACTTTTCAAAAATGTTAAGTTTGCAAAATGTCCATTATTATTAATTACCTGTTCAAAGTTCCAAGTTTGCCTTTGTGTGTAGATACTAATAATTGTTAATTTACATATAAAAAAACTTCCAACAAATCCAACAAAATGCACTTTAAACAATTATTTTCACACAGTTAGACGCTTATTATTATCACCATGACCGCAATAGTCGACTGCAGAACGCACTGTATATCGACAATCGTAAAACGAACGCTTTAAGATTATGATAGAGACTAAAGAAAACAATATAATGTTAAGCATGCTCCTCAGGGGCGCAACAAGGATTTTTGGGAAGGGGAAGAAGAATGGATGTACTTGTAGTACTTATTGTTTGTTGATACAATAAAAAAATAGTTATGTTTACATAACACTTTCCTTAGTAGTACCTAAGTGAACCAAAAATAGATGCCAACTTTTTAAAATTTTAAAAAAGTTTTCGCCTTGATTGTTCAGTAATTTCCTCACTTGTGAAAAATAATGATTGAGAAAAGAACTCTCTTGGTGCTTTAAAGATTTATTTCCTACATTCAGAATGTGTTATCAAAATGTTGAAATAAGTAAGACTTTTCAGGGGGTTGCGACATTCGACCTACAATTCCGAGAGTTATTATAGAGTGAAAAAAATTTATATAGAAACGTAAATCCCTTATAGGATTGGTTTCAGAGATACAGAGTATTTTAAATTAAAAAATATTTTTTCTTATAAGTACTTACCCATTTTTCCAAATGAAATTAATAATATCAATTTAAGCAAATACTTTTTTCTGCAAACTGTTAATTTAAAAAATCAGATTAAGTCCAAGTTCAACGCTTTACCAATGACAAGTGACGGTGACTCTTTTTTCACAAAAAATACAGCTCTGAATGATAATATTGTCAGAAATAGTTTTTAAAAATAGGTTCATAGGATGGTAAATAATGGTGAAAAAAGTCTATAGTTTGTTTTACTTTTAATGCCCTAATATTTTAATGAGTTATATTTAACAAATATTTAAAAGTTATGGACTTTCCACCATTTTTTATTTTATTTAAATGCTAAAACTATGGAACGCCGTTTTACTTTTTATTTCTAAATTTTAATTCAGTCATTTTTAAACACAGAACAATTTTAATCATCTCATTTTTATGTTTGTCTAATTTTTTCAGTACTATTAAAATATTTGTTCAAAAAAAAATTGTCTATTTAAATATTTGATGAATAAAATTGTATCTTGATAAAATTGTGTAAGTTAAAAATATTTAATAGTCATATTTAAAGCTTTTAATTTATATGATGCAATTAAAATTATCAACCGTCATTTTAATTCGTGTAACATTTTAATTCAACTAACATAAAAATAATAAATATTTTTAGTTAAAGAATTAAAATGATTGTTGAAAATTTTAATTCCGCATTGTTTTGGATTAGGTAACTATATGTTCGCAAAGAAAATAGCAACAATCATTTTGAATACCTTATTTCAAATGTTTGTTATTTTTTTGTTGCCTGAATTAAAAGGTTACACGAATTAAAATGACTGTTCATAATTTTAAATGTATCATAAATATTAAATGATTTAAATATGACTATCAAATATTTTTGACTTACGCAATTTTATCAAGATGCAATTTTATTCATTAAACATTTAAATAGCCAAAGTTTTTTGAACAAATAATTTAACAGAACTGAAAAAAAATAGACAAACATTAAAATGTGTTGAATAAAATTGTTATTTATTTAAAAAATAAATAACCAAAACAATTCAAAAACTTACCTAAATATTTCAACATTAATTTAAATATATTTTTATTTTAAAAATGTTAGATTTAATCTAGTGGCCTATTTAAAATATTAATTGAAAAAAATTAGAATGTATAAGTTGTCTATTGAATAAAAATGCAACTTTATAAATCAACCCGACTAAAGATTTCCATTGTTTACCTTTTACACATGTAATTTAAATGTAGGTTCTAAAATTATCAACAATCATTTTATTTCATGTATCATAATAATTCAACGAACAAAGAAATAAACAAACATTTTAAATAAGGTATTTAGATGATTGTCTACAATTTTAATGCCTACATTAAAATGATTGTTATTTATTTGTTTGTTAAATTAAAATGTTAGTCGAATTAAAATCACACTCGATTTAAAATGATTGTTGATAATTTTTATTCCAAATTAATACGATTGTTGATAATTTTAATTGGTCGCTGTAGTCAGCGGGCGCTACGAGAACTAATAAAATATGTAACCAAAATACGTTGAGAGTTTCCAAAACCATTATATACAGATCTTTCTGCATCTAGTAAGGTTCTATGAATTCTCTGTTTCACAGCAGCAGCAACATTCGAATCCATTATCGAAATCACGAATCCACTAGTTTTTTTACGTTCAAACTGATACAAGCACAAATTCTATTTTTAACTAGAACTTAGATGATAACATTTTAGAGCGATTAAAAATCTAAAAAATATTTTCTACCAACAACTTCTGCACAAAACAAACCATAAACATTGTAAGACATATGACATTACATACATCATACATGACGTTTGACGTTGCAGTAAACCTTGTTGCCAAATTACATATTTTATTAGTTCTCGTAGCGACCGCTGACTACAGCGACTAATTAAAATTATCAACAATCATATTAATTCGGAACAAAAATTATCAACAATTATTTTAAATCGAGTGTCATTTTAATTCGACTAACATTTTAATTCAACAAACAAATAAATAACAATCATTTTAATGTAGTCATTAAAATTGTAGCCAAAAATCTAAATACCATATTTAAAATGGTTATTTATTTTTTGTTGGTTTAATTAAAATGTTACATGAATTAAAATGACTGTTGATAATTTTAATTGTATCATATAAATTAAAAGTTTTAACTATGACTATCAAATATTTTTGACTCGCGCATTTTATCAAGATACAATTTTATTCACCAAACATTTTAAATAGCCAAAGTTTTTTAAACAAACAATTTATTAGAACTAAAAAACTTAAACAAATATAAAAATGGGTTGAAAAAAATTGTTCTATGTTTAAAAATGACCAATTGAATCTTTAAGAATAAAAAGTAAAACGGCGTTCCATATAAAACGCCCTAACTATTTCAGGAAACTTGTGTTAAGATTTAAAAATGTTCTGGCGCCAATTTGCAACCGTGCTAATTCGAGACATACGTTTTATTAGACTCATCGTGTTACGTATTTGTTGACATTAAGAGATATAAATTTAAAGTGACGTCTTGTATTACTTCGAACGTAAAATCGTTTTCTAATCTAAGAAAAAAATTGAGTTGGGTCTTAATTACACCATAATTGCAAATCAAAATGTAAAAATAATTATTTATAGCCGACGTTTGTTTAGAAGTAAAATATTACACCGTCCATTTCAGCTCTATTAAATGTTTGTTAACTAAAGCTGAATAAAGAAACAAATATTTCCTCTAGTGGAGTAAAAATAGGAGGGTAAAAATTGCCACCTCCCCTGATTGCGTGCCTCTTGAGAAATTTTCCAAAATTTAGTTTTTGTCAAAATTTTACGTTCTTAAAGAACATTTACTGTACACAAAATTTTATGAAAATTAGTTAATACCGATAAATGACAAACATTTTTTTAATTTTATTTGTATTCTCCAAAAGTACTTAAAAAATTGTTACTATTTCAAATGTTGGTCGAATACCATAATTATTTTTCATTTGAATCTGGGACTATTTCTAAAACGTTTTCGTTTTATAAAAGAAAAGTCACTACAATTTATAAGTAGGTTGCTATTTTTACTTTCCTATCTGTATACAGATATAAGGAAAGTATAGGAATCATGATTTTTTTCGACCTCGAGTTTTCGACGGATTTTTACGTTTCGAGGTCCCCTGAATCCGTTTTGACTATTTTCGCGATGATATATATATATATATATATATATATATATATATGTGTGTGTGTGAGTGCGTGCGTGTGCGTGTGTGTGTGTGTGTGTGTGTGTGTGTGTGTGTGTGTGTGTGTGTGTGTGTGTGTGTGTGTGTGTGTGTGTGTGTCTGTGTGTGTGTGTGTGTGTGTGTGTGTGTGTGTCTGTGTGTGTGTGTGTGTGTGTGTGTGTGTGTGTGTGTCTGTGTGTGTGTCTGTGTGTGTGTCTGTGTGTGTGTCTGTGTGTGTCTGTGTGTCTGTGTGTCTGTGTGTGTGTCTGTGTGTCTGTGTGTGTGTGTGTGTGTCTGTGTGTGTGTGTCTGTGTGTGTGTCTGTGTGTGTCTGTGTGTGTCTGTGTGTCTGTATGTAGCATAACTCATGAACCGATACACAGAAAAACACCAAATTTTAAACTTAAGCTTTATTCCAGCGTCTAATGAACTGATTAGATTTTGGACAAAGTCGGAACATCTGGGGGGGTACTTTATGGGAGGCCGTTTTTATATTTTATGGAATATATCTGTTATTTATGTTTGGAGAAGAAAATTGTTCAAATAAAAGTTACTTCTAATATTATTATTATTACTTTTTAGTTCGATTAATTATTAAAAAAAAAATTAAGTTGAAATTGTTGTTCTTTTTTTTTTTTCAGCCGTGGGATTAGAACCCACGATCAGTGAGTCTGGCGATCGAAAACCCGTGCCTTAGACCGCTCGGCCAACGAACGAACTTGAGGTAGTGGGATATACTGACAGTAATAAGCCATTTGCTTTTAGTCCAAAGGAGAGTTACAAACATACATAGTAATACATACATATATACATAGAAACAGGTGAAGCTAATAAAAGCGTGTTAATAAAAATATAAATATTAAAAATATTTATTCATATAAATATATGTAAAAAGGTTACATCATAATTTAAATTTACAATGATACATTTTAACAAAAGGAGAAAGCTTCATAATATGGTAATAAAGCGTCACAGTAGGCTAGTTAATTGATTTGACAGTTCTAATAAGCTATACTAGTGTGACGTAACTTTGGTTCCACAGACAGTTAATTTCTAACCAAACTTTTAAATAACTATCATTGAATTTGACATATCCCTATGGTTTTACTGTTTTTAGTTTATTTTTTTTTTTAAATATTTTTTTCAGGTCAAAAAAAGGCGTCTAATTGGTTACTAAACGATTTTATACTTGATGCATGTTGTTTTATACTTACTTTCGGAATATAATTATAAAAGTTTAAAAACAATATAGGCTATCTTCCTCTAGGTAAATAAATCCAACAAAATGCACTCAAAAAGTCTACTGTCACTG